ATCTATTATTTATTTAAATTAATTTTCTGATAAATAATATTAAATAATAGAGTTCGAAAATTCAAGTTTAAGTGATTTGTTAATTACAAGGAGTTGTGATTGTAAGATACAAATTACGTATGATTGAATTTTGAATAATCCATGATCGTAAGTAATAACGAAATATCGTTATTACAAATAGACCATCACGTATGACATTTCCTATTTGTGAAGTAAGTAGTTGACCTCACAAGTTAAAGTGTGGTGACATTTAAATGAACACGTGGATGTTTTGTTATAGAACGAAACATTGGAGACCCGCTAAGAGATTCCACATGGATAAGTGTGATTCGGATATGGTTGGTTTTAACTCAACCTAAAACCAAAATCAACTTGATCTGTTTGGGTAAATTCCAACTCAAATCAACCCAATTTAGTTGTTGAAACCAAACCAAATCAAATCAAATCTGTTTGGGACAGTTTGATCTGGTTAGTTGATTTGAACATTTGTTCGAATTAACAAATTTTACTTACCTATTTGTTTTCAGATCTATAATTTTTTTCTTGCATAGTTCTTATTAATAATATTATAGAATGTAATGGTAGATGGTCAATTTTTCCAAAACTATCCAATCTATTTGATAGTTACCAACAAATAATTACATCAAAATGAAAAGCAATGCTACAATTTAAATTTGGAGTTTACATAAACAATTTTCTCCTTGCTTCTCTTTTCTTTTGAAATTTGAAGTTTTGGTAGAAAAAGCGTAAATGATATTATTTGAAAAAGAATTATATTTATGATTTTATTATTTTATTTTAAAGTTTAAAAAAATGAATTTTTAAATAAAAAAAATGTATTAGCAGGCTGGATTGGTTAATTGATGCAACCAACCCAACCCGACTTTTTAATGGTTAAAATTAAATAAACCAAACCAATTTTTCAGTTCAAACCAATCCAAACCGATCCGACTTGGTTTGATTGATCGATTTTTCGATTTTTTTGCACACCCGAAGAACAAATAAAGAGGATAATTTATTTTATTTTATTATTATTTTTTCTGTATTAAGTAAACAAAATACAACTATGAGAATGAAAAGTTACAAAATAGAAAAGATACTAACTATTTATATAATGTTTAATAATCGAAGATTTTGTTAATTTTTCAACAACTGGGTGAAAAGCAATTAAGAACGTTTTAGAAAATCATAATAAATAATTATTCATTTTATTTCAACTTATTTAAGAATGCTTGACTGGAATTAATAATGTATCCCCACGCAACCCCCACGCCACCCACCCCAAGCTATGGATGTTGAAATTTGGAAAAATGTATCTACAAATTTCAACTATTTACCCATAAATCGAGTTAGTGGCTTCGGAAGGTTTGGGGTACTTGCATTTTTATATTTATTTCTATCATTTTTATATCTATTTTTTTATTTATTTTTTATCAAGTCTTTGTTTGATCCTTATTTTTTAAACTCTTTTTTTTTTTTTTTAACCACATTAACGGGTTTACAATTTTAATCAATATCTACTAAAAGTTTACTATTTAGCTAAACAAAACATGGACTAAATTAAATATGAGTTATTTTACATCTCGAAATGTTAAACGTGCAAGAACCACATTTATTTCTTAATCAAGCAAGTTGACAACCAAAATAATGTCGTAATAAAATTGTATGATTACAAATTAAAATACAAAGAATTAAAGTTAAAAACGAACTAGTTATATAAGCTATGGATTGAATACTTGTACCTTATTACAACTTCTAACATTGCATTAAATAATATGGACCTTAAAATCGTAATAAAAATTATTTGACTTTTTTTTTTTTTTAAATCTTTTATTAGTTTTGATTCCATTCTATACAGACAAGCATAGAGTAATCGTTCTTCGAACTGCCAGAATGTTGCTTATAAATAGCCTAAACAAAGACTTTGGGGGCATGTTTGGCTGCTTAAAAAAAAAGGAAAAAGAAAAGAAAAAAGCTGAAGTAATTTTCAATTAATTTCTTACCTTAAACTTGGTCAAAAAAGTTAACTTTTAATTTAAAAGTAATTATATACCTATTATTATTATTATTATTATTTTTTTTTTCTAGAAAGGTACTCATTTTTTTTAATTAAGCAAATCCGAACATGCCGACTTCCATGTCGAGTAAATTGACTAATGAGGTGAAAAAAGATAGTCCGGGGTTTCAACTGTTCAAGTGATTAATTACCTAAGTAAATACTATTATTATCTTTAGATAATTTTTATTTGGAAGATGTTGACGCCATTAGAACGTGATAAATGATTTCATTCATTGTAAAAATTCATATAGTGACTATTAATTAAAATCTAAAATAAATAGTTGGTTGGAAATTAAGATCAGACTTTGCAATATAATTTTTTTGAACATGTTTCAATTATCTTAAAATTAATTATGTCCCCACATTTTTTTTAAGACGGGGAACCCGCAATCACTACTTTTTGGGTGAGCATTGGATAAATCCTCGAGCTGACGCAATAACTTACAAACCAAGCCAACTAGGTAAACCACACTAGACAAGCTCGGTGTGACAGACTCGATCGAGAAAGTAATAGTAGGCGGAATCGAACTCGTGACTAAAAATCATCGTGCTCACCTCCTCCACCAACTCGATCACCTCATGAAGGGCTGTCCCCACATATTTATCAAGCAGCAACTGGCAAATGGAAATGACAAGGATGATGACCCAACTGCTAAACTAATACAATGTAGCTGATTAAATTAAATCATGGCCATTTGTCATCCTAATCAGATCTACACATTGACAGCACATCCAGGCTTTATCTTCTTATCCACACCAAACAAAATTAATGCAAAAATGATGCAATTTGAGTAATTTGCTATACATCATAAATAACAATTTTCATTGTAAATTTCTCTTATTTAATTATGTACGGTTGATAAGGGCAATATTTACACTTATTTTTACCTGCTCATGAGGATTTTGTCAATTGATATTGAAACGGATGACTACTTATTTTGTGCTTTTGGGATGAAACTCAAGCGTAGAGCACATTGAGGGAATGAAGAGATGAGTCTATAGTGAAGGGGTGGGTGTGGGTCGGTTGGGTTCTAAAGAGAACCGAACCGAACCGAACCAAAATTTTCGGGTATCTAGTAAATGGAACCGTCGGATCCAAATATAATTATGAAACCGTTCGGGTTCGGTTCCGTTTTGTTCAGTTCTGTATTATAATTAAATTTTTTAACATTTATAACAATATTATATAAATACAACGAATGATACATTCAATGATTTTGGAATGCCATCGACTAGTAGACTACCTTATTCAAATGATCGCTACGGTTAAAGTTTCGGTCGGCGGAAGTCGCAACTTCGATCGAAGGTCATAGCATCGGCCGACGATTGTATAGGTTTTGAAATGTCAGCGAGGCTGGGAGAGTTACTGCGAGAGTCGAGACAACGTTATGCAATTTAGTGTATGTGTTTAGAGTTATTTAGTAGATTGGATCTTGTTGGGCTAAGAAATGAAACAATATAATGGGTAATAGGGCCAAAAATTAAAAAATTAGAAATGAAACAAATTATTGGGTCAAAAATTTGGATTTAGAAATTGTTAATTTGTTTAGAAAAATTAAAATTAAAATAATTTAATTTACTCAATATAAAAAAAAATAGAAATATTCGATTCTTCAGTTCTTGGTCTAGAACCGAGGACCGAACCGTACACATCGGTTCTCAATTCAGATACCCGTTCGCGTATTTAATTTGACAAGAACCGTCGGGTTCGGTTCGGTTCAGTTCGGGATATTTGCCCAACCCTACTATAATGCGATATAGAGTTGAAGAAAATGGGAAGATTTGAGATTGAAGAATATCCAAAAAATTTCGTTCGAGTGAAGGTTGGAAAATTTTGAGGGGATAAACACAAGTACAAAAATCTAGATCTAGAGTTTTTTTTTTGAAAGAAGAAGAGAAAAAGAACCGATTTGCTACATTAACAAAGTAGAGCTTAGAAATTCATCAACCATGTGTTTGTATAGTTCAAATACGAGTAGTTAATTTTAAAATCGTTGACAATTATGTAATTTATACTTTTGATGCTTTAGATCTATTTTCTGGGATAAAATTAAAATTAAGAATTTTTGTATTTCATAACACAATCATAATGACACTTGCGATTATGGATCGAGAACAACAGTCGTCAACTTTAATATTTGTAAAGCTCATTTGACATGACTTTTAAATTTGCTTCCCGTGAAAAAAACTTTACGAAAAGTTTGGATCTACATGTCCCCAATCTCTCTGTCCCAAGCTTATTTGCAATGGAACACGTCCACGATCCAACCATGACATCATACGCGCGAGGCGTACAACCCCACACCGCACCCGTACACGATACCCAGTGAATTGATCTATATGTACACGTCAGATCTCACAGGACTTTCACAAATTCCTCACATGTGGACCCTACTCATTAAAAAATACCCCAAAAATTCCCACCCCCTATGCATGTATTCAGTAGGGGTTCTACACTGATAACCCAAAACCCCTACTTGGTAACCTAGCACGGCTGATACCCAGTTGTTTACTCTCTTTTTTTTCTTTTTTTTTTTTTGATATTCAGGTATCCACCTTACAGTGATTAAATCCTGGAGTCTACACCTTGGCCCTTCAAACTGCAGACAGGTTAAATCGCAAATTGTGCCCCAAACTGACCAGTACTCAAGAGCCCCCCCAACTGATCTGCCAAAGTGCCAAACAAGTCGTTTTCCATCTTTTCACCTTGCCTCCCAATAGAGCTCCTACCTTCCAAAAGAATATCTGCCTTCCAAGAGCTTTCTAGGAATCGAACTCACGACCTCTGATCTGCTAGATTTGAAACGTCCTCATTTTTGCCAGTTAGGATGTGCCCTGAGGGCCATACCCAGTTGTTTCCTTGTTCATTAAACTGATATTCAATTTGCAAAAATGACTGTAACTTAACTCTAACATAATATTACAATATTTTGCAAAATCATATTTGAACTCAAAAGTCTAAATTTCATTAGTAAACAAACTAATAAAACAATCATTGTGTCACCGGCTCCCCTTCTATTTACACACAAAAAAAATAAAATAAAAAATCCCACTGATCAAAAACAATAAACAAAAAATATTACAGAGATTTTCTAGACACAAAATCGTGAATTTAGCTAATCTAATTCTTCAAATGATTTCTAACTTTGGCGGTAAAGAAAGACGGGATTTTTTAGCAGGGTGGGGACTTTCGACTTCATCTTCACGGAAGCCAAATCCCGGCCATAACTCCGGCAAAGCCGGCTTGTTCAGGTCGAAGTCCAGACGAGTAACAGTGGATCCTACTCCTTCAGACGACATCACTACACTACTGCCGGCGGCTCCTCCGTTGTTACTTGGTGCCCCACCTTCATAGTGGCACCTTTTGTGACCCCCCAAGGCTTGGCCAGTGGGGAAGCACTTGTGACAGATGGAGCACTCATGGACCCTCCCACTATGGTTGCTTGCACTCGTGGTAGTGGCTGAAGCAGTGATAGTGGCGGCAGAGGAGGTAGTGTTGATGGAGTGTTCATCTCCTCCACTCAGTTTCCGGTGGCTGGCCTTGTGCCCTCCCAAAGCTTGGTAAGATCCAAAAGCTCTGTTACAAACTGAACACTTGTACAACAACTTCGCAGTACCATCATCCGTCATCACCGCTGGCGGTGGTGGAAGACGAGTTTTCTTTAGCTCCAACTGGGTTTTCTGCGCAACAGCGGCAGTATTTGTGGTGGCGGGTTTTGACGTTGAACCGCCGCCACTGCGAGCAAGCATCATAAGGCAAAGAGCCAAGTATTCTTCTTCAGTAGGTTGCTCATGGCGTTCGACGCTGCGTTGGCGCTTCGATCTCTTCCCTTTTGTCCACGGCTCGAGATAGTGGAGGGTTACGTTATCGAACTGAAACGCCGGAGTTGGAGTAGTAGGAGAATTCAATGTTTCAAGTGCCATTACTGAGCTAAAATTGGAGACAGTTGGGGAAAATTTGATGGAAAATCGAAAATTGAATTATGAGTAAATTACAGGCAAATGAGGGTGGCTATATAGCAAAGGCGGAGGAGGTGGTTTGGAAGTTGCGTGACAAGTGAGACGGTTACTGACTTGAAAAGTATAAATGTAATAAAAATATATAGAAAAAATTAATTGAGGCACAAGTGGAAGGTAGTGGGCAATGAAGGGAAGCGAGTGGACTAGAAAAAACTGAGTCAAAGTCAAAACTCTTACGCGGCCTTTCTGTGTACTCAGTCGGCAAATTTTTGATATTTTGCAACTTTGTGAGATGATTTCTACCGTCCTCTTTGACATGTACAAGTGGATGGAAATGGTTGGATAAAAGTAACGATATTATTTAAAACAGTTCAATGATAGAATATCGTATGACATTATGTCAACCTATCTGACAACAAGGATGACACTGTAATATGACTGAATTTTGATATTTCTTCCATCAAATTCAATAAAATTGACCTCTTGTCGTCGATGGACATGATAAAATCTTCATACTATTGACGTAGTAAAAAAAATCTTAATTATAGTTTTTTGAATTTATGATCGTTTTGGAGAATCATAACTAAGATTCTTTTATTACATTAGCGGTTGAAATCTTTTATCCTACCCACTGAGAGTAGGAAATTAAGATTGTCAAACTCAAACTCAAACTCAAACCCAAACCCAAACCCAACAATTGCGACTCTTTTTCAAAAAGTCGACAGACATAATAAAAATGAATTATTTTAATTTGAGTATCAAATTCTGCTAGAGATATTTCCGATACTTTTTGATAATTTTACATATTTCCGACTATATTTTGAGAAAATTTATCACCAAAATTGATATTGAGCCTATTTGGGAGTGATTTTAAGAATTGATTTTTTGATCGTTGGGAGAAAAGTGGGATCCACCTGTGAGAGAAGAAGTCAAATATAATGATTGGAATAGTGAAATAACGGTAAAAAAATCACCCAAACAGACCCATTATCTTCTAAAAAGAAAAATGAAAAAGTCAGTATAAGTTATGTAAGAATTTGATGGCCCACATACACAACCAGTGGAAGTAATAGCCAAATGGGAAGAGAAAGGGCGTTTGTTCTGTTTTCATATTGTAAATTGACTAATGAATGAGATATTTCAAGGAGTCGGCTATTAGATTCCTACTAAATATCACTAAGATTCATGCATCTATAAAGGCTGCGTTTTTTTCACATTTTAAACTAGTAAACAACTGCCTCCCACGGTTCAATTAATCACGTTTTGTAAAAATTAGGAATCTCAATTTTGACTTTTGGACTGCCCCTAAAGGAAGTAACCATTGATAATACTATTTTGCTATATGTATATAGTAGATTTACGTAATGATTTATATATATGTAATGTAGTAACTGGTAAGATATAATTGGGTCAGAATTTTTCAACAAAAAGGGGGAAAAAAAAAGAAAAGAAAAACTTCCTTGTTTCTTTTTTATATATCATTTTTACGTAAATCATTATGTAATTATTTATGTACAAGTAACGTTATTGTTAATAACAATGGGAGATATATCAATCTTGTTATGTACATTCTAATTTACATTGACACAATCTAACACCATCTTTTACATTTCATACATCTAACCAAATTATCATAATCTCATCACATCACCCATTGTCAACAAGAGTGTCAAACCTAATTTACAAATAGCTTAGTTGTGGAGATATAAGGTGTTTTCAAAAAATAAAAATAAAAATAAAGTCCTTGTTTGGTGGCCTACTTTAAAGAAAATAAAAATGAAGAAACTATGTTTTCAATTGTATATATATACACACACACATTCACAGCCCCCGTTTGTTCCTCATTTAGTCATTCTCCTTCTCATTCTTTTTTTTTTTCAACTTCACAATTTTTCATAAAATAATATTAAATACAAATAAAAAAATTTTCTTTCTTTTTTAACTACACATTTTTCAAAAAAAAATTATTCTAATAATTTAAATTTGGAAAGAATGGGAGCCAAATAGGGGCACCGTAAAATATTTTAACTGTAAACTTAAAATTTTTCACTACTTTTTAATCACATTATCTAAAAAATTACTATTTATAATAATGTATTTCCAAAAAAAGTCCATCAAATAGGGCTAAGAAGTAAAAAAGATTTAGGTTTATGTGAATAAGGATCCTTTTGATTACAAAGATGGAATTGAATTGCCTAGAAAACGAATTTCAGGTAATTGAATTTTCTAGAAATTATTTTCCTGATAATTGTAAATTATTGTGTTTGATTGGTATAATTTTTTACATGAAAAATCTTGAAATAAAAGTATTTTTTGGTGTTCATTTGATTTTGTTTTATATGAAAATTGTCAATTAAAGAGATATAATTTACTGGTATTTGGATGAAATTTGTTCCTATTGCCAAAAAAAAAATCAAAAAATTATTTATTTTTTGGTGTTCGTTTGACTTTGTTTTACATGGAAATCGTCAATTAAAAATATTTTTTTACAATAATTTTTAGAATTTGTTTCCATTGTCAAAAAATAATAAAAAAAAATAGAAAAATGCTACAGAAACCAAGAATTCCAATATTTTGGTGAGAATTGCAATTACTTGAATTCATGGAAATTGGTTTATGTGGCACCAAATATAGAAATTTAATTCTCGAGAAAAAAATGGCTATCAAACAAGGTTAAATAGGAACGTAAAATTTCAATTCCATTTTTCATGAAATTTCACCTCCAATCAAATATTATTTAATATTTTATTGTGAGAATGTGAGATTGAAAATAAATATGAAGGAAAAAGATTATGAAAGAATGATAGGCAAAGATGGGTTTTCTATCAAGCATTGCCGTCGGTACATTTCTAGTAACACGTGGATTTGTAGTTTCGAACTATCACAAATTTACGGACACGTGTATGGACCTCGACTATAGAAAAGTTGAGAGGTACAATCTTTATATTCAATACATTTGGGTCTCCTCTTCTTAAAATTTTGACAAATCAATCAGCTTGAGATAATTTCACGAAGGTAAGTGATGTTTTCGTCTTTCAATTTATTAATACGAAATGATGTAATGAACTGTTAAAATTTTATTTATGAAGAAAAAATAAAAATTCATCACATATTTTAAAGAGTATGAATGGTCAATCCCTAGCATGCCAAAGCATCCACATAAAGGAGAATTGAGCCTCATTCGAGTTGATACGCTATGAGTTAATGTTATATCCTACTCACAAATTAATTGGTGATACAAAAATTTTTCTTCCTCATTGGACATTATTGCTAGATTATTTTGTTACCTTGAACGACATGGCTATCTTTCCCATTTTTACTTAAAAGATCGCGTCTATGAAGTTTGGAGTGTAGAGGGCGTGTCTTAAACCAAACTTGAGTCCTCAATCTCCTGTTTATAGGCTTCATCCTTGATAACGTGGCGGAAAGTGGTTATGCATGGGGATAGTGCGTCTTTATCCTCTTTTACGTTTTTACGAAGGAAAAGAAATTGTAATAAGTAATGTCTGACATTGATCATTATGACACTCGTATGAGTTAACATTTTAGTCATCTACTATGGCTTTACTAATTGACATTGATCGTCAATTTTAGGGTGATGATCGATCAAATCACTTAGGATATAACTTGACCTACTTGTCAATTGTCGTTTTTGCAACATCGAGAATGAGTAGGAAGCCTACTAGCACACAAACTATAAAGTGCTAACTCTTCGAATAGGAAGCCTACTAGCACACAAACTATAAATTGCTAACTTGATCACATGTGAAGTTTATTATTATTATTATTATTTTATTTTTTTAAGGTAGTTCACTTCTCCATTGGGTATCTATCATAAAGGAGTACGAGTGTGCCATTATGATTGCATCTAAGTCACTATTGAATAAGTAATAAAATGATGAGTAGATGTTGAATTCAGGAGGACTCATTATCTAAATAGATGGTCCTACTAGTTATAATGTGTTATTAGGAAGAGATTGGATACACGGAAGTCGATGTATACCCTCATCGCTCCATCAATGCCTGGTTTTTGGAATAACAAGGGTGAAACAGAGGTGGTGCAGGCCGATCATAGGCCTTTTGTCGCAGAAGCAAACTTAGTGGAAAAGTTCATGCACGAAGGAAAATATGGACCTGTCAGGGTAATACAAGATGGGGAAGAAACTCAAATTGTCGTGCAGAGCGAAAAGCCATTTTTAGTGGACGCACTCACTGAAATGTTCAGACAGATGAGGCCAAATATAGTGGCCCTAGAAGAGCCAGTAATTGGCAAAAGAATAATTAAGGAGTCTTGAATGAGTTCTAAACAATAAGAGCAAATGGCCGATATTCAGGCCTTCAAAGCCAAATTAATGGCTTTCAATAAAGAATGCAAGGACAAGGCGAAAGAAGAGGCAGCCCTGAAAACGCTGAAAGACAAATTAGCAGTATTCGAATTGGAACAAAGTATTGGCTGAGAAGTCAACAAGGTGGATTGTTTAGAAGAGGAAGTGCTTACAAGGGAGCTGGACGATGAAGTAATGCGGATCATCAAGCCTGGATACGCTCAAGCACAAGACCCTCTGATTAAAGTAAATATTGACAATGAAGGAGAAGATCGTCCAACATTCATCAATAAACTAAGGGTGTGTATAGACTTTAGGAATTTAAACATAGTCACACCCAAAGATGAGTATACAATGCCCATGGTAGATTCTTTAGTAGACTTAACTGCCGGACACGTCATGTATTTTTTCATGGATGGGTATTCAGGATACAATCAAATTTATATAGTTGAAGAAGACATACACAAAACTGCCTTTAGATGCCTTGGGTCTGTAGGATGTTTCGAATGGGTAGTCATGCCTTTCGACCTGAAAAATGCAGGAGCAACTTATCAAAGGGCAATGAATTTAATTTTTCATGATATGATAGGTAAGTTTGTTGAAGTGTATGTAGACGACATAGTTGTCAAATCCATTGAAGAAGATGACCATTTCGAACAGTCAAGATGTTCATTTGAGCGAATGAAACAATATAAGTTAAAGTTGAATCCCTTGAAATGTGCATTTGGTGTTAATGCAGGAAACTTTCTTGGTTTCTTGGTACACAAAAGAGGGATTGAACTTGATAAAAA